TAAAGAATAATAGCTAAGATATTATTTTTATTTTTTATTCTATACCTATTAAAATAATTATTTTTAAAAAAATTAAAATAAAATAAATCTGAACTGTCCAGATATGACGAGCATTAACACCCAATGTAAATCTGGAAGGGATCAATCAAGAGAACCTCTCTCTCCCTCTTTCTCTACCTCATTGTTGAAGTCGGCACTTCTATGTTGAATGGAAGAAAACAATGAGAAAAATAGATAGAGGAATATTCTGAGGTTCGACAGATAGAGAATATTCTGAAAGTAACAAACTGGTAAACTTTTATATATATAAATATATATATATATATATATAGCTAGAAGCGAAGGAAATTTTAATCAAGCATTAATTAAGTTTAATACTCCTTCCGTCTTTTAATATAAGATCTGATTTTTTGAATGGATTTGTCTCTTTTTATAAGATTTTTTTTTTAATTTGTCTGAGCATTTAATGCAGTGTTACTTATTTTATCCTTAATTTAATGTATTTAATACATTCTCTTTTTTCATTTATCTTATTATTACTTTCTCATATTTATCTATTTATATATAGGGGTATATTTAAAAAACAAACTATATTTGCTACATATTAATTACTTTTAATTAATTTTAACTGTTTTTTTAAAACCGCGTAATTTAGTTAAAATGATTTTATAACAAGAGACAGAGTAGTACTTGGCAAGAAAAAAATTGATTCACTCGCCGATTAGCTCCCACTGCATGCTCTATCATGCTGTGTCCTTTGATTTTCTCTTTCGGAAAGAATTGATAGTAATTTTTTTTGTTGAAAAAGTTATTGTAAGTTAATTCCTAATACTAGTTTTGACATTTTGAAAAATTACAATGTTTTGATATTTTTTAATATCATGATTTTTTTCATAAATTTGAGAACTTAGACTTAATTTAATTAATTATTTTCTCTACTCTTGACTAGTTAAAGTGATGCTCTGGGGGGAAATAGGTGGAGGGAATTCAGTTTGGGTGCTTATTACCACCAAATCAATGCTCTCTTTAGATTAAATTGGATGGTCTAGATTTAATTTGATTTTATCTTTATATTTTTAATAATTTATCATTTTAATGTGTGCAGAATTTAGAATAAAAACGATCATTTAAGCATCGATTTTTAAAAAAAATCATTTTAAAATCATCAATTAAAACTTTTAAATATATCCCATTGATATTGTAATTGAATGACAGATCTCACAGCAACCAATTAATTAACACCAAGGTGCTTATTACCATGATCACCAAAACATAGTTATCGGCACAGGGAGGCGAGGAAGAAAGCATGAATAGTTAAAGTGATGTGTAGATCAAATATGCATCGGAACAAAGGTGTCTTACACGAAGGACGCGCCACTACATTGTGTTTTGGTTCAGTGCATGCAGATAGGAAGAACACGTACGGCCAAGTAATTAGGTAAGGTGCCAAGTCTGCATATTTAGAGGGGGGGGGGAATATAAGTAGATATGATGATTGGTTAATAATAATAATAATAATAATAATAATAATAATAATAATAATAATGGTGGGAATGTGTATGAGGTGGTGGATGATGTTGTGAGCGCATTTTCCATTCAATTTGGAAAAAGGGATTGGTGAGATAATTAACGGGCACTCATTTGCGTTCCTTGTTTGGTGCTGGTGATGACGGAGGAGTACAGTAAGGCCTCAATAGTCTTGCTTTGTTTTTAAACCATTTATGACTCGGCTCACCCTCACCTCCCAAGCACCACCCTATATCATCGTCGTCGTCGTCGTTATATGTTGCGAGAGGGTGGCAATGCATACATGTTGAAGTTGCCGGGTTGAATGATGACAAGATGTGTGCGGAACAGGTGGACTTTTATATGGAGAGGACCTTCGTATGATTCCAATCACGAACCTTGCCTTCTATATGTTTGCGCCTTCTTACCCCACCATCCATTTTTAACATTATTGCAACAATTGGTATTTATCACAGAATTAGCTCAGCCACGACACGAGTTTGAAGGTGACACCGCCGCCACCCGCATTATAACAATTCATTGTGTCTCTCTCTATATATATAACGTTAGTTTAGTTATTGGTAAGGATGTGACTGGAATCTTACAAAAACATGAGTTCTAATGTAATCTTTTTTAAATTTTCAATTAATGTCAGGATATAGATGGTGAATAATTGATAAATAACTATAAGAACTCTATATTATTGGAACCTAGTATTAAAGATAACTCACTCAAAACTTTTTGGTTTTTTTTTTTTGGAGGGGGGGGGGAGTGGAGCCATTTTGTGTAATTCATCCCATCCCCAGGATAATAAAAGAAAAGGTACAATTCCTAGCCTCAACACACACGAACACACATATTCATGTTATGGGCTTTTTTTTCGGCCTCACGTATTATAGGCTTTTACTTGTTTGCCTCCATTTCTATTTCATTAAGTTGTTGTTGTAATATATGAGATTTTAATTATTTTTTAATCTATTTAAACATTGTTTTATACGTATTAATTAGCTATGAAGCCTATTCAAATCAAGGATGGAGCTTGAGAAATTATTTTTTTATCTTAACCAAGAGACATTATTATTAATATGTTCTACTTATATATATGTATATATTATATGTGTATGTATGTGTCCGTGTGTGTATTCTTATACTCAAAATATCTAATATGAAACTAGCAGTTTTAAAATACTTCCACTCAGTTTGCTAGTCATAAAATCAACATATTATTTTGATTAATATTTTTTTAAAAAAAAATTAAACTGAAGGTTACATCTATACTTGTCGTCATTGAATACGAGTTACATACTTTTGTCCAAAACACGTATAAAAATTGTGATGTGTAAATTTTTTTTTTAACGTACATTGTATTGGTAAAGTCACGACAGGTCGACAGCAGTGGTGGTGGGTGGTGAATATGATTGTGGATCCATTTGGAACAGCTTATAAGTAGTTTATAAACTGTTTTTCAATAGTGATTTATAGAATACGAGGCAAGTATGTGAGAGGAAATTTATCTCGACTTATGTGAAACGTGCTTATAGGATATTTTCACCGCTCTCCCAAATGGAACCTGTGAATTTGTGGCCAATAAAGTCAAGATGTTACATTGGGTGAGGAATAGAGAAATGCAAGAGCCATTATAATCGAAGAAGAAAGACAGAGAAAGTAATGTTTCGCTGTGATTTTCCTGCACAGTGCGAAAACTGAAAGAGTAATTTTGAAATATCATCATCGATCAGACACACAAACACAAAGAACACAAAACGACTCTATGGAAGCATGACAGAGACAAAGAACAAGACGATTGTTAAGTGTACTAGTTGGGGTGTGTTAGATGGACTGGCCAGCTAGTCGGGCTAATTGTATTCCCAGGTAAGCCTTGCAATCGTATGTATCCCTGAAGTTTGGGTTCAAGCTGCTTTTGATCTTATCCTCTTAATTTTGAAGCTTCTATGACATCAGCTATTCTCTCAGGGGCTGGTTGCCCTTCTCCCATGTGATGGTTCAAGGTGCTTTGTGGTACATGCGTGCACTGTGCTTCTCTAGCCCCTCTATTTCATTAAAACTATCTGATGATGATTATATTGAAACTTCAATTGGCAAATAAGTCAAATAAACATGCCCACTTTCTGCTTTGTGATAGACTCAGATTATTAAAGTAAGCATGCTTACTGCAGCAGCGACTTAATTAAAAGAACTCGCAACTCTTTTATAATTTAATACTCTTCCGATCCTTAATATAAGACTTATTTAACTAATTTGATTAAATTAAGAAAGTTAGGTAAGTTAATTAATTATAAAAAATATCACATATTTTTTCTAAAACACCATAATCATCTTCCTTAATATCTTCTCTCCCTCTTCTACTTGATTATGGTTAAAAGAGTATCCATAGAGGTAATTAAGAAAAAATTGATAAATATGATAAGTAAGTCTTATACTACTTCCGGTCCTAATTATAAGAGTTAGTTGACTAATTTAAGGAGATTAAAGAAAAAAAGTTGAGTTAGTTATGTGTCATAAATAGGTGTTGTCTTTCCTAAAATATCATTACTAATCAAGTATATTGGTTAGAACTACCATTATTAGAAGGACCATCTTAAAAAAAATACATAAATATTAGAGACAAAGTGAATTGGGATCTTATATTTAGAATCAAAATAAAAATCAAACGAAATCCTATATTAAAAATCAGAGATAATATTTATAATAAAAATCAATTCAATAATTAAGTGATATATTAATAACAGGAGAAGCTATAACTAAGGTAAAAGTCCAAGGCAAATTTGAACAAGTACGTTCGTGGACATAAGCGGAAGTAACACGGTGCTCTGTTTTGCCGACGTAATTTTAAAAGAATATAATGCGCCACCACGTATTCTCATTCTAACAAATTGTTCAATTTTGCAACCAGATTGGGCTTGCACTCTATATTGGAATCGTATTTCGCCACGTGTTATAGTTCCACCAGAACGGAGCGTAGATGTAGTTATCACTCTATTGGAAATCGTCAAAATTCTAAGTTTAACATTAATTTATACATTCTTGGTAAAAAAAAACATTAATTAAAAAAACAGAATGACTGTGCAGAATAAACTAAAGATACCCACGACTCGTCCGGAGTCAAATCTATAGACACGACATGTTTCAGATGTGGTCTGTCATTGTGAGCAAAAATCCATTGTTGGAAGCTTATGTCAAGTCAATGCGATAAAAGCTGTACTGTTTGGATATTTATGAAGCTGCACAGAGTGCAAAGCGAAGTCAGTGGAAGGACTACTTTGACTCATCGCTCATCATTTTTCATTGTAGAATGAAATGCATCTCAATTGTTTTAATTTCTTTGATATTTCACGTGATAATTGTCTCGCCGATCATGAATAAATGAATGTGATTCATCCTCTTCACTGGAAGTTCTTTTTTCGCTTCTGGCTCGAAGTGGGAAGCACGACGGTGCACAAGCCAAGTAATATAAAGACGCGGTTCACTGGTAATTTAATGGGAAAGAAGAAACATCTACTGATAGATATAGATGACATGTATGAGACATAGTCAAGCGAGCTATAGACAAAGAGCACCTAGTAAAGCTAATCTCCAAGAGGACAGGTGAATCCCTAATTCCAACGCCTAGAAATCTGCTATCTCACAAAAGCGAAAATGCTGCACTCCCAAATCTCAATAAGTACATGAACCAACCTAAACCAAAATCTTTAACATAAAGCCAAAGAGACGCGCCGCTATGTGCATCTGTTGACACGAAGCAGAAGCAGAAGCCGAAGCATGGCCTGCTCTATGGCGGGAAAAGAAGGCGGCATGCATTACTGATTAGAGCTTGGCGTTTGTTTGTTGAGCTTCCATTTTGGATAACTGCAGATCAAGCTGGAGTTGATCCATGTTGTGAGCAGTAATAATGTCTGGCTTGAGATCATCAGGATCGTGGAGAGTTGCAGCAGAATTAGGTGGTTTCTGGGGGGATGATGATTCGGGATGTGATTGGGAATGGTCCTTGGCTTTACCCCAGACGACAGAGTAAAGGCCCAGAGCGATGATGATGGCTCCTATGATACTGTATTAATTGAACAATGCAGAGAGATACGGGAATAATGAATCGATTTGAATTTGCATGGAAGGAGAGAATGAAGATGACGAAATGATAACTGTATATATACCTTCCAAGATGGAGTTGCTCGCGGAGGAGGAGGGAGCCGAGCACGGCAACGATGATCATGCAGAGCGGATTGAAGGCGGTGGCGAACACGGGGCCTCTCAGTTTCATGACCACCCCTTGCACATAATATGCTATTCCCGAGCTCACTATCCCCTGCATTTACAATCCCATTCTCACTACTCCTTCAATTATATCAACTACTGTTCTAATTATTCATATCTCTTTTTTCACTTTAATCTTTAATATTTTGGGTTAATATTTGTTAAATTTGAATCAAATTTTAATTTTTGTCCCTAAAATTTAAAATAAATGGCTTTGGTTATTAAAATCTTATTCTAGGGAGAAAAAACAATATTCTCGGGACCAAAAGTCTTTAGGTAGTTAAATTTCGAGAACAAAATTATTAGTTTCAAATTTCAGAAATAAAAAACAAAATGATATGAGACTTCAAAATTGAATATGGCATTAACTCTAATATTTTGCCTAAAAAATAATATTTATTAACCTAATGGGCCAAACGCCCAAATAAATTCCACTGCTTATTATAACTTGAAGTTAGTACAATTTTTTAAATTATTTATTTATTTATTTATGTTGATATACTGGTTGATATTAATGATTAGATTAGTTAACTAATAAATTCTATTTTTATATTTTGAATAAATAAGTAAAAAAAGGTTTTTTTTGAAAAATTTGGACTCAATAAAACTTATTGAGAGCCCAAACCGCATGGCCCAGCACATGGGCTGTTATGTTGAAAATTGAGTCCACTTACATATCAAGGCTCCTCCGCCAGGCAGAACTTTTCAAATCAAGTCTCAAAGACGGATTGTTTCACCCCCCAAAAAAAAAAAAAAACATGATGATACCATCACCGAAACATTACTTTTATAAGTTCCCCCTAAAAGCCTTTTTATATTTTTATTTATAAGGTACTATTTTAAAAAAGTCTATGTAACAATTAATCTATATTTGTTAAATAGTGCTCTCATAGTATGGAAGTTGTCGAAAATTATGGGGGGAAAATGATTAAGAGAGATAGGCAAGATTGGGTTAGACCCTATTGGATTCAATTAAGGGCATTTTTGGGAAGATGTGGTGATATGAAGGAGATCAACTAATTGCAACTAACTAATTTAGTTAACACGAGTATTATGAATAAGAAAGGATATGGAATATTAATTAGTATATAGATTTTTTAAATCTGGAAAAGTTAATGAGCAGTAGGCAAAAGAAGACGAAGGGAGAGAAGGGTAGACTAGAAACCGTGTAGAGAGGGGCGTAGAGACGGTAGTCCAAACCGATGGCCCAGGAGTGAGAGTGAGGCTCCGCCACAAGCGCCACCGCGGTGGTCTGCAAAGTACCCGCCATGCATATGAGTGTGGCCAGTGACAGTTCCGCCGGATATCTCTTCACCGTCACCGACTGCAATATGTAGAAACCCGACAATGCCCCGCACCCCATCAATATGAACAGAGCCCCACTGGTCTGGCTGTTATTGTGGGTAGGGTTAGCGCCGCCGCCACCTTCACGCTGTGATCTGGCGGCTGAGTTGAATAAACTGAATCCTGGACCTTTATAAGTTGCCATCACCAGCGCCCCTCCAAGCGTTACCATCGTCCCTATCACTTTCGCTGCACTCCTTATCTCCTTCGCTTTTATCCTCTCAATCCTGCGCGCACTCCCACCCATCAACTTTCATTATATATATTATTTGCCCTCTTCTTGTTATTCATATATATATATATATATATATTTAGCTTAGCTAGCTCTCTTTAATTTATATATCATTAGTTAACTAATTAAGAACTGCGTTAGCCCATTATTACGTACCGGAAAATGACTGCCAACAGAAACGTGAAGGAGGGGACGGCGTTCACTATGGCAGAAGCGAATGAAGCCGAAGTGTATTTCATCCCCAAGTAAGTGAAGCTTTGATTGAATACCGGCCTGACACATTCAATAAAATATATAAATATAAACCCACTTCGTTTTGTGCACGCGCGCGATGGCATGCCTGCATGTTATTAAAAAATTAAAATGCTTGATATTATATATATTTATATATGTGTGTGTGTGTGTGGTTTCAGCCGATGTACGTACTCAAGAAATCCCAGTGCCATTATCTGTAGGAAAACTGAGACTGTCATCTTTGGCCTACTCCTCCTGCATCAGAAAACAAGAATTTGTGTTAAAAATACACATGTATAGCACGGCATAGCTGGCTAGGTTCTTCATGAAAGGCAACAAATCATATATATATGTGCACACTGCAGAAAGCAGGTAGAAGGATTAGGATAGGAACCTTTCGAGGAAGAAAGCGAAAGGAGCGAGGAAGAAGGAAGCCATGGAATTACGGTAGACAATGAAGACAAAACGATTCATGCCACGGTCGAGGACGTCCTTGCCGAATATGTAATTGCCTGCCATCCCAAATTGGAGGCCAACCATGAGCAGATATGGCTTCGCTTTACTCAGCCACCCTATTCTCTCCATCTCTCCCTTCATCATTTTCCCTCCGCTCTCTTGATCTCTAACCACTTCGCCCATTCTATTCCACTTCTTGTGACATCTTCACATGCAAGCCCTTCCTTATATACACCCACCTTTATATTTAAATAATAACCCCGACATAATGCTCTTAATTAACGCCCAAGCTCTACGCTCTCTTCACGTATGCATATATATACACACACCCCTCAGATAGCTTAACCTTAATATTTAATTCTGCACTTTACTTATGGATCGTAGGTGCTCCTTTTCAAAACGAATATGTAATTTGTGTGCAATTGAAGCTCTGTTATCTCACCTAAAAGGCAGAAATAATAATAAAGCTAGAGTTGTGCTGTGTCCATAACGTTATACGTCCCACTAGAGGACATCTAGCCTCTACTTGTATCTAGATATGATATACAATGACATTTTATGTAATGATCGTCTTAATTAAGTAAGAGAAATTTCATTATTCTTAAATTAAATCACCAGTGGCCAGTGGGTCGAAAACATAATATGATAATAACCCTCGATTTCACTCAACAATATTTAAATATGATGTAATAGTACCGTGAATGCCAAATAAATCTATCAAAAAAGGGCGAAAGAAAAAGAAATACAATCCAAAATAGAAAGAATCTTCCATGCTTAACTGTTCAATCTATTCTCTACAACTTTAAAGTGATAAAAAAAAAAACTATCATACTGTTTTTTAAATTTTGTGCAGCATTATCTTTTTATTAAAATTTTTTCCAAGATGGATGCCTTTAATTTTCAGAAAATGACAAAAAATTAGTTTGTACGAATATAACTCACTTTGATTTTGCTTGCAAGAATAAATGGAGTTAGAATAAATTATTTTCAAACAACTAATTCAAAATTTTATGATGGAGTAAAAGTGAGACAACACTCCACCTTGGTATTTTATTATAACAGAACAATTGTTTCTGGTTAAAAAAATAAAATAAAAGAACAATTGTTGTTAATTAATCAAACATAATAAAAGAACTCACGCAACTGAATATGGGAAATAAACAAGTAAAAAAGAAAGAAAAGTGACGGGGTTAGGTAGTACGTTTTGGAGAATGACATTTAAGTTTCTTATGAACAAATTATATATTAACATTCTAGTCCCTACTTAAACAAAAGTATAAAATATTTTACCACTTTTTATCTCAAATACAAGGCACTAATAATTATCCTTACACAAGAATTTTGATTGAATTAAGTTAATTTATTTAAATTTGCAGCAAAACATATTTTTTCTAAAATTTGCTCTTAATTAATTGTTGGCTTTGACTTCCGTTCCTATGAATACCGAATAAATCTCTCTTATATTTTTTTTGATAAACGCCCTCTGGGCTCTCACATATTTTAATTATGGTTATTTCAGGAAAAAACTTTTAATACTACTTTCGGTCTTAATTATAATATCTCGTTTATAGACTACAAATGAAGTCTTATAATTAGGACCGAAGATAGTTTTTCAAAAGTGACTTATGCTTTGAATCATCAAAACACTCTAATAATTACCTTATATTTAAGATTGGAGATGCTAATCGTCATTTCATAAGTATCATAATTAAAAGTAAAAACCATCAAGAGTGTGAATAATTTTCTTATAAAGGACTCAAATGTTATTGTCTCTGTCATGTTTAATATAAGTGGAGTCGACATTAATGCAGCAGACTATGCCTTGTCTTGTGTACCTTGTTAATTCCAAATCATGCAGATGTCTTATCTCACCCCACATGAAACCAAACTTTCATTGAATCTTTACATATTTTATATATATGTAGGATGGTGAGAGATTGGAAAGAGAGGAACCCAGATATTTTGCGCCTTTTCATTTTCTTTTTACCACTAAACTTGAAGGCGAGAGGGAGCCCGCAGACACGGATTCATAGTCATTAACAGACTGTGTCACGATTCATTGACAAACTAAGCTTGTGGATAAGGTTATAAATTAAAGATAATGTGGTACCTGCATATAGGTCGGATTCGTGTTTGTCAAAATAAGAACTTCTTCCAACATAAGTCATAAAGTTGGATTTCCTTTTCTTTCTCTGTAAATGTCGATGTTACTCCTTTAACATCTGTGAAGATTGCTCTTAGTTGTTTTCCAGTTCAGCATGCATGCATGCCTGACGAAGATCTCACAGGCCTGAAAGTGAAATTAAGCTTTTTATTTTTCTTTAATTAATTAATTAATTGCTTATTAATGCTTTCTAATTGAGATGATTAGTTCTAAATAGCAGGAAGCTTGCTTAGCTAGCAAGGTTTTAAAACCGTTCGTTCCAAATATTTTTGCAGAAGCCAAGAGTTCCAAATATGATGATGGCCTTTTGATCCTTTTTGGACGGCTTGTTTGGAAGTTTGGTTGGATTAACTTTTTAGCCAAACCAGCGGCAATATTACCACATCCAAAGCACTCTCATCTTGCCTTTGGCATCTTCTTGGTGCTTTGGTGCCTGTATCGCACTTAGAATTTGGACGTATACTCGATTTATGCACTGCAGAGAACGAACTATAAAAACTTTAATTTAATTGCTTGGATTGGTCCAGAAGCTCTTGGTAACATTGCTGTTCAATAAATAATGGAGCTTAGAGGATCACCACTTCAAGGATTTCCGAGGATGGAGTTAGGATACTCGATATTACAATTAATGGAACGTATCCAACAACTTTTGGCTAACATACAAGACTTTTAATTATTCTGGTGGAAAAAAGACTTTAAACTATGAAAGAATATTAAAAAGGGGATTGATCTCATTCTGTGTGCGAAAGTCACACACACACCGCCGGCGACACCATGGAACATCTCTTGCCCGTGGATATCAAGGGCTCCTTTTCTTGAGCCATCCTCCGTGGAAATCATTTAGATCATGATGAACAAATTCACCAGATTTTTGTGCTCATCACTTCATGGGCACCCAGCACTTTGCACCGTTTAGATTTAATATTTGTAATTATTTATTTTTAAATAAAAAATTATTTTTTTGAAAAATAGCAGTAGAGGGATTATCTTTATTTTTGATTATATACCCATTAAAAGTAATTTTTTTGAAAATGATAGTTGAATGATTATATGCCCATTAAAATAATTATTTTAAAAAATAATTTAAAAAACTAAATCTGGCATGGACGATTCAGATTTGATGAATTTGAAATAATGAACTCACCCGTTAATGTTCAATGTTTTTTTTTTTACTTTTAATTTAATAGATGCAGAATTTAAATTTAAAATAAAAAGAACCTTCCCATTATTACTTGGTAAAAAAATAAATCTATCGTTAACAGTATAATTTTTAAGTTTAATAATTGAATTGTTCAAATTAAATTTGAATGATCTGTATGTATCTCATTGTAACAATGAACTCTATAGTGTTTATTACTCTATTGAGGATTCAAATCAGACCCGACCTTGGCAGAGAATTGTTTTCACAGTAAGCAGTGCCACTTACGAATAAAAAATTACTTATATTATACTTAGTTAATTATTGTGAATGTTGGAGCAAGAATAAAGCACACTTATCAAGATTGCACTACTTATTTGAATAATGCAAAAGTATTAGTATAAAAGCAAGAAGAAGTGATGTGCTATGTGGGTGATATTTAGGACTCAAGGTGAATATGATGTCAACAATATTTAATTTTAAAAAATTAATAAGTGATAATTATTATCATCTTTTTTGGCCAAGCAATAATTATTATCACACGAAAGTTAAATATATAAACGAAAAAACAAGCTATATATATATATAAAATAAAGTACATATCTTACAATTGTTCTTTATGCGATTTCAGGCTTTAAAATGGTTGAACAATTTAACTCCTCGTCAATGTTATTGGACTCTCTTGATACAACTCACTAGGCAAATTCCAAAATTAGGTCTGAAAAGGTAAGAAATATATAAGTAAATGTGTTGTGTCTTTTTCTTCGATGTACTCTAGTGATTAGTCAGTTGTCAAATTCATTGAACTCAATGTAACAAAAATCTTCTCATAGAATTCTCAGCTTTTTAATTAGAATTATGTTAACTAGTTGGTTGGCATGGTCCTTTTTGTGAGTATGTTTTTCATATTGATCATTAGTATACGATAAAAATTTAATTGGCTTTCTTGTGTCTAGCAGCAAATCTCATTGATCAATTCTAGTTTGTTATCACTAGAAATTTATGATTTACAAAGCTTTCATAAATCATTGCTCATCCTTTCATTTTCTCATCAAAATCTAGAAAATTTATAAATAATTAATTATAAAAATATTAGAAAATGTTTGGCACACGGAAAAATGTTTTATAAAAAATTTTTAAAAAAAGCAGAGAAGGAAAAAAATTTTTTTTTTCAATATTGCTCAAAAAAATATTTTTTCCAATAATTATAATATCTGCATGTAATGAGAGGAGCATCTGCCCAGCCTCACCTCCATATAGTCAGCCACCATGTTTGGATATTATTAGTTAAAAAGATGAACATATTTTCAAATTAAACAAGTAATTAGCTTTTAAAAGCAACACCTAATCAGATGGATGCGCAAAGCGTTCAAATATACGGCAATTATATGTTAGAAAGTCAATTTGCTATCTGTTGGTTACGCATTAATAACCACTACTTTTTAGGAAAAGGTGTAGGCAAAAGCATCTCCTGAAATGAATAAGAAACCAAAACTTAATTTGGTAGATGAGGTTTTCGGCCTGCGTTACGGAAGAAATACACAGAAAGCCAGCCTATAAAACTATGAGTGGTGCGCACACTCTGCAAACAAGAGGCGTCCATGAAGGGGAAAAAGTTTAAAATCAAAAGCAGGGGAGGACTAAGAAGAAACTTACAAAAAGGAGAAGAACCACAAACTCGCAATTCTTGCACACAGATCGATCAAAAGGTCGTGGAAATAATATCTAATTGGATGCTCTGATTGAGGTCCGAGGCAGTGCCGTCAAAAGAAGAATCATTGTTATTATCCTTTTAGCTCATTAAAGTTATTTACTTTGGAACTCAACAATAATTTTGGCCCATCATAAGGGACATTAGCTAGGTAGGCGCTATCAGTCATATATAATCTATTCACCATAACATCATCAAGAAAAAAGAACGTTTTATAGAATATCTTGTTTGC